CACCCTTTCCTCAGGCCTTCACCCTGTCATTGTCCATGTCCATGGGTTATGCACATATGCATATAAGTTCTTTGGTCAATCTCTCAACCCTTTACTCCCCTTCCCTCTGAAATATGATCGTCTGTTGCCTGCATTGATGTCTCTGGATCCACTTAGTTCATCAGATTGTTTTGTTCATTAGTTTCTTCTTAAAGAAGACCCTTCAACATTTCCTGTAGTGCTGGTCTGGTGGTGATGAGCTCCTTTAGCTTTTTCTTATCTGTGAAGCTCTTTATCTGACCTTCAGTTCTAAATGATAGCTTTGCTGGGTAGAGCAATCTTGGTTGTAGTTCCATGTTTTTCATCACTTTGAATATTTCTTGCCACTCCCTTCTGGCCTGCAAGGTTTCTGTTGAGAAATCAGCTAAGAGTCGTATGGGTGCTTCCTTGTAGGTAACTAACTGCTTTTCTCTTGCTGCTTTTAAGATTCTCTCTTTGTCTTTAACCTTTGGCACTTTAATTATGATGTGTCTTGCTGTGGGCCTCTTTGGGTTCCTCTTGTTTGGGACCCTCTGTGATTACTGGACTTGCAATTCCATTTCTTTTTCCAGGTAGGGGAAGTTTTCTGTCATTATTTTTTCAAATAGGTTTTCAATTTCTTGCTCTCTTTTCCTTCTGGCACCCCAATAATACAAATGTTGGGTCACTTGAAGTTGTCCCAGAGGCTCCTTATACTATCTTCATATTTCTGGATTCTTTTTTCTTTTTGCTCTTCTGCTTGGGTGCTTTCTGTTTCCTCATGTTCCAAATTGCTGATTTGATTCTCAGCGTCCTCTACTGTACTGTTGATTCCCTGTAAATTATTCTTCGTTTCAGTTTGTGTGGCCTTCATTTCAAATTGGTACTTTATTATGTTATTGATTTTCTCAATTATTTTCGTCATACTCTTACTAATATCCTTGAGCATCCTTATGACCATTATTCTGAACTCTGTATCTGTTAGCTTGCTTGGATCTATTTCATTTAGTTCCTTTTCTAGAGATTTCTTCTGATCTTTCCTTTGTGACATGTTTCTTTGCCTCTGCATTTTGACTGCTTCTAGGTGTTCGTTTCTATGTATTAGGTAGAGCTGCTGTGTCTCCTGGAATTTGTAGCGTGGCTTTCTGTAGTAGGTGTCCTCTAGGGTCCCGTGGCTCAGCCTCCCCAGTCACCTGAGCTGGGCCTTCTAGGTGCTCCCCTGTGTGGGCTGTGTGCACCATCCTGTTGTAGTTGAGCCTTGGTTGCTGTTGGCATCACTGGGAGGAATTGACCCCCAGGCCAATCTGCTGTGAGGACCAGCTACAGCTACAGCCAAAGAGCTGCTGTGCTGGAGACACCCCTGTGGAGCAGGATTTACTTCAGTGGGGCTTTGGTGTTCACCAAGTGC